TGATCTCATCCGTGCGTCTATAGTCTGCATAACCCCTAATTTCACTTTTATACAAGCATTCAGGCCAACACTTTTTAATATGGTCCAGCTATTAAGTACTGACATGTCACAATGAGTCAGGCTGACACAGCAATAAGAGCACGACTGTGGTAGACAAGGTACCGTATTAACAGAAAACAGAGAAAATGCTGAATCCATGATAATAATAGTGAAAGTGCAGTTAGAGGAAGAATAATATATTAAAAAAAGCTTCAATTTCTGCCAAAATGCAGGCATTAATTACACTTCCTGTTTTCAAGGGAAAAAGCAAAAAAAAACAAAAACTAAACCAGTTTTGTTAAATCCCATACAAATTGGCTTACTATTAAATAACCAGTTTTGTTAAATCCCATACAAATTAGCTTACTATTAAATAAATAATAATAAACAATCCACAAGTTGTTTATTTTGTCAGGATACAACTCCTAGCTTAGTCTAAGTTAACAACGCTGCCTATTCAACATGAAGCATGAAGGTTTTAAAAGAACACTTCATTTTCTTTCTACTTAAGGACAATGATGTTTTTCTGATTTTTTTTAGAGGATCCATTCTGTTTACAGGTCAAAGTAAATGGAGAAAGAAGTACTTTGTCAAGACCTAACTTAATTCACAACATTTTTGTTTCTAGTGACCTCTCTCCGCTGGCCTTTTGCTGCCGTTGGGAAACTGATTGAGGTCAAGACAGACTGCATTCTTGGAATTTTCGCTGAACATGAAAAAAACATTAAGGAGAAGTTAAGGATTTGTGGAAGCGAAGGCTAAGTTAATAATTCTACATCGGTGATTTGGTTTTCAAATTCAAACTCAAACTCAGGCCTGGGGGCCAAATCTGGCCCGCAGTGTAATCTTCTCAAATGTGTACTAGAGTGTACTAGTAGATTTCGTCTTGGTTTTTAAATTTTGGCCCACTGTGAATTTGAGTTTGACAACCCTGCCCTAAAGGGTACAATACATGCGACTTTAGTCCGGAGAACTTTGGAAAGAGCTGCATTTTCTTTGTGGATCTAGAGGATCTAGAGATTGCGAGACAGTCAGGAGTGGTGAAAAAGTAAGTCAGGGTGGTGCAGGACACGTGTAAGGCCAGCAGGGCTGCAGTAAGGTTGTGTAAGGAGTGACAGATGAGTTCAAGATAGATCCAGGGCTAACATGACGGTCTGGCTCTGAGCCCCATTTTGTTTGCCTTGTTGATGGACAGTTTGACAGATCAAGGTCAAGCAGGAGGCTCCATGGACCATGATGGTTGCAGAAAATACTGTCATCTGTGGTGAGATTAGGGGGGAAGTTAAAGAAAACCTAGAGAGGTGAAGGTCAACAGGAGCAAGAAGAAAACATCTAGTATGGAATGGATGGACACGAGTGTCAGAGGTGATTTGTGACAGACAAATTGCAGTGAAGTTGAAAGGTCAGGTTTACGAGACAGCAGTGAGATCTGCTATGATGTACGGTTCAGAGAAAGACAAAAGCCTGAGCTGGAAGAGATAAAGATGCTGAGATCTTCACTGGGTTTGGAGATACGGTTAGAGAGGAGAGGTGGAGATGGTTTGGACATGAGCTGAGGACAATGCCATCTCCATGTTTAAGATGGCGCTTCGGGATTTGTGGATGTAGTGAAAGAGGACATGGAGGTTGTCAGTGTGATGGTAGAGGAGGAGGGGATAGAAGAAGAAATGTAATTCAGGGGTTTTCCTACTATAAATTAGTTCATACAACTTTACCTCACATCCGATATTGGTACTGAAATCTGGAGTAAATGCTAATACCAATATCCATGGTATTAGCATTATGTATCAGAAAAGGGCAGGGTATAGTTGTTGTTGTTGTTTTTTTTCCAATGTACAATCCTGAAATTAAAAAAAAAACAACTGAACCCCCCCCCCAAAAACAAATACTTGCAATTTTCTTTTCCCTTTCTTTAAAAAGTCAAATATTTAAATGGCTATGAAATAAGTATGAGATGGTGTGTTTTTCTTTTTTTCTTTCGATTCACAAACTATTTTGCAGTAAAACGAAAACCACAGTGCTGGTGAAGAGGGAATACAATAATGTTCCCCAAGAATATTTTTTCATAACACAAACACCAGTGCAAAGTTGTTTTAATTAGTGAAACAATTGATGTCATTGTTGAGCAAAGCGTGGACACTGTTGTTCCCGCGCATTGTGTCCAATTTATTTAGACTAATAGCACATTTAAAAAAGAAAATATTGGTTCTTGCAATTACGATGTGAGTGGGACACATTGCATTTGATGATTATTTTATTAAAAAGGAAGGTAATGGCATTCTATTTGTGTAGCCTCCTATGTGAACCAAAACCCCGCAGACACATAAACAGAGATTGTACTTCAAAAAGACGGCGGTGGAAGAAAAGTGTCTCTGTTTTTCTCATATTCCTTTAGAAACAATAAACAACATCTTTTAAGTCGGGCAAAAAAAAAAAAAAAAAAGGAAGAAGGAAAGAAAAAAAAATACTCTCGCGGTGGCACGGCAGCGACTCGCTCGGCATGGGAGAGGCAAGGAGTTTTGAAGGGGAGCAGGAGGAAGTAAAAGAGACAGTGTCTGAAAATAAACAGTTCTCCTGAGATGCACAGCTTTTTTAGGTGTGTGTCGCTGCGATGACAAAGATCTCTCAAGGTGTGTGTGTGTGTGTGTGTGTGTGTGTTTAAGCAATCAAACAAGGTGATTTCAGTGGCTATGCATTACCGTATTTTCCGGACTATAAGTTGCACTTTTTTCATCCTCATACTCAGGTGCAACTTATATATTAAAATATATAATTTCACATATTTGTTATTTTCACACAGACAGTCACTAGAGGGCGATGGTGTGACTTAACTCTAGCCTTGTGTACCAGTATCTGCTAGTTCGTTATTTTCACACAGACAGTCACTAGAGGGCACTGGTGTGACTTATACTCCGGAGCGACTTATATGTTTTTTTTTTTCCCCTCTTCATTATGTATTGACTTATAGTCCGAAAAATACAGTAATTGTGAAATATGCGTTAACTTCTTAAAAAAACAAATCTCCTTGCTGCATGTATGAATATAATATGTTTAAGATAACTGTATAAATAACAGACAAATGCAACGTTTAAATTCTACTCCAAAAGTTACTGTAGCCCTTCAAGGACAAACTGGGAGCTCAAAAACTGGCCGCAGACTACTTGAGTGGAACTGGTTCGCCTCCACAGTGATGGACCATAACTCAATCACGCCAGGACTCAACATAAACTACTCCTCTTACAGTCTTACATCAGACTGCATTAAAGGAACAAACATTAGCTGCCATAAATTCAAGACTTCATTTGCTTCAGAAGTTTTTTCTTTTCTTAAAAGGATCCTGTAGATATGGACACATTAGCGGTAACAAGTAGCAGAGCCAACATTGAGTCACAGTGATGGTGCTGCAGTCAATGATAAACAGGTGTCACAGACAAGCAGACACTAATGCTAGTATTTTTAGCCAACAGTGGAAAAAAAAAAAAAAACATCTGATATATTCCGACTTGGTTTTCCTCACACCCTGGTTCACACTAAAAATATTTACTTGATCACTTGTGTCATTCAAATACTAATATGTACTTGTTATACTTCTGTCATCATTCTTTACCATCTTGTCCAAAAATATTTGCACAAGTAAAGAGCTGGAGTGAGGAGACAACTTCTGATGGAATTTTACCAAGCTGAAAAAAATATTCTGGCTCCTTGTGAACACAGGCTATACATTTTACTATACATGTACTTTTGCATGGCATGCCTGTATTGCACTAGGGGTGCAACGAACAGCTGGTCACAATGCACTGAACTAATATCAAGTGTTGACAGCCGCCTCCTATAACTGACCTTTAACTGGCTCTGTTATTCAGTCCCCAACCACACTGAGCATGAACTGCAATACTGCATACAACAACGTAGCCTCAGAATTCAAAACAAACAATAACTTTAAATTCCACTGTTATCTGGCTCTGAACAGACTCCAATGAAAATATATATATATATATATATCAAAGATTGAAAGTAATCGTCCATTAGAGTTTTCAGGTTTTGAGATGGCATTTGGTGATTTGGTTCAAGGGATTTTTTTATTTTTTTATTTTTGAAATGTGTGTTATTTGATGCTATTGATTTTGATTAATTATTAAATGTGACATTACTTGTTAAATTTGATTTTTGTTGGGCAAATAGGGCTTAGAAAATGTAATGAAAATCATCACAACAGCCTGTGTACAGTTTAAACCAGCGGTGTCAAACATATGGCCCTCAGACCAAAACCGACCCGTCCGGGGGTTCAATACGGCCTGGCTTGAAGAACATTGAAACTGAAAAATCGCACAAACACGACATGTTTTGTCAAATATTACATTAAATATATACTTTTTCTAACATATTTGAACTTATTGGCGTGGAAAAGGGGACAGTGGGCAAATAGGGCTTAGAAAATGTAATGAAAATCATCACAACAGCCTGTGTACAGTTTAAACCAGCGGTGTCAAACATATGGCCCTCAGACCAAAACCGGCCCGTCCGGGGGTTCAATATGGCCTGGCTTGAAGAACATTGAAACTGAAAAATCGCACAAACACTACATGTTTTGTCAAATATTACATTAAATATATACTTTTTCTAACATATTTGAACTTATTGGCATGAAAAAGGGGACAGAGGAGAAAACATGGACTTGTTATTTATTGGTAATTATGTTATAATTGTACTGGTCATTTGACACCTAATCAGGCTGTATGTGGCCTCTGAACCAAAATGAGTTTGACACCCCTGGTTTAAGCCAATGATCTCCAATGCCTGGGGGCCACTTACAGCCCACAAAGTTCTCAAATATGGCCAAATATTAATTATTAATTTAGTTGGTCATTCAGGCATATAAAAAAACAACTTTGTCATAGCGGTTACATAAACAGTATTTAATAAAAACAAAAACTGAACATCAAACACTGATGAGGTCCTACCATGACATGATGACGGCAGCGGTGGCCCTCAGTTCATTTTGGTTTAGGCTGTTCAGGGCTGTGGGAGAGAAAGGCAAACCTGGATCAATTGTGTGCCCCTCTAATACAAAAGGTAGAAAAGATTCAGTCTGCTTCTCTAACATACAGCTGTTGTTATCCATCAATCAGTTTGACAAAATCCCCGGAACCAATTATCTGACATGAAAACTCCCGCCTGCTCCCGTTGCCAGTGAAAACTTTTGCTGTTTATTACGTTTTTTTTTTTCTTCTTTTCTGTAGACTTCTTGTCGAAAAATTCCAGCAGAGGCAGGTGGTTGACGAAAAGATCTGTTACAGCGAGTCACGGCGTTCAACAACACATCGCCTCAATGGAATAAGACTATCAGGTTATCAGGTTAAAGTGCTGTAGTGCACTGGTTCCCAAACTTTGTCTGACAGACCAAGGTTGGTTCATAAGAAATTTTTCACGCACCCCTCCAAAAAAACTCACGCACACACACACCAATACTTCATCCTCTGCTTTTCAATAACGCGGAACTTCCGTCAAAAATGTGTCTATTTCATGCTAGCATTGCCAACTCTGGTCAGTTGGCAGGAGTGAGTGTTTATTTTCTGTATGTGGGCAGGGGCGGGGATGAACAAAAACAAAAACAAAAGCGAGAATTAAAAAATAACAGTCAATTCACACCGCCTTCAACCAAATTTTTTGCCAGCCTCTTGTTAAACATTTACAGCATTGGACGATATGCCGTGTTACGTTGCTATAAACGGCTCTGCGCCCCCTCTAAGGGCCGCACCCCACACTTTGGGAACCTGTCCCTTAGTGTAACCCTAACTGACCAGTAGAGAGCAGGAAGTGTGTGTTTGAGGTGCTCTGGACAGTAGTATAGTGGCAAGGATTCTAAAGGTGTTGATGAAAGTAGACCTGAAGGCACCAGAGAGATTACCACCACTAAAACACTAGGTTGTCTTCTGTTACACATTTTATACTAATTAAATATTATATTTATATTAATTGAATTATATCTGGTGTCCTACCTCTGGTCTCGTCTCCAGATGTTGGACTTCCTATGTTTCAGTCTTTACCCTCTAACTCTTTCTCCTGTCCCTGCCTCCTGTATTTCCCTCCACAGTGATTGCATCATCCTTCCCACCTGTGTCTCGTTAACTCCTCAACTGCCTTTGTATGTGAACCAACCAATTTGCTTTTTCTTTATTTTTTAAATTGAAACCAATGTTTCTTTTTCTGTAGTTCACATTTGTTTGATACCTGGCTTTTTTTCCTGCTTAGCCTCAGTGGAATTTTTTTATTTATTTATTTATTTTTTTTACCTTTAGAGCCTGTTATTTGGACCTGGTCCGAGGTGCACCTGTGATCAGAGCTCTGTTTATAATCATCTCTAGAGTCCTTTTCACTGGGCCTGAACTACTAGATAATACTATTTCTCTGCAGGGATCAATAAAACCAATAAAATCTATTAATCTATCTACAGTCTATCCCAATGTTATCCAGACCAGACCACCATTATTACAGGAAGTCCAACCTGGACTTCTTGTTTTTCCTTCAAAACCTTTGTTCTCATTCTAGTTAAGCAACCATTTTTTTCTAGTCCGAGAAAAGTGTGGTAAATTCAAAAGGCAACTTTTCATCTCATCTCACACACTGCTGTTGTGCTGTTTAATAGGAGGAGATTTTTATTTAAATTGCGCATTCAGGCACCTTATACGGCAGATAGAAAATATTCAAATATTTTTGAGATACAATTCTGTACCTAAAGTAATAGCGGATATTTTCGATTTCTCTTCAGCAGAGGACAACTGTGCATACATATTTTTTCATTTTCAACATCTACTGTGATTGGTTGTTGTACTGGTTGACAGATGTAGCTGTAATGACACAATGGTTACCTCTATTTCCAAGGGGATCAACAAAAACACTCCATCAAATCCCTGGTGTAAAAAATGACATCTTGAGATGTCGTCGACAACCCAGAGTAACTCGGACCATCTGAACCCACTCGGCTGTTTTCAACGAGCCTCTCTCGCCTCCCACACTTCAAGTGGCTTTGATGAACAAGGTCACCCGAACATTTTGAAGTCGGCACGACGCACGATCAGAAAGAGTTTTTCGCGCCTTGGCACAACCTGCCAGTGCCTGTGTCACTGGTACATGTCCTTGACATCACGCTGGTGTCAGTATAAAGACAGGTTGCCTGGTGAGGGAAAATGTTGGTCCAAGTGGATGACAAAAGTTGAAGAATAGAGAGGAATAGAGAGAGAGAGAGAAGTAGATGGAATCAAGATATAAAGAAGATGCAGTGACGGTGACATCAATAACCTCAGAGAAGCAACTCGACTGCTGCCAGTGGAAGGACAGGGAGAGTAAGAGAGTGGGTGAGAGTGAAAATAAGATTTTTTTTTTCCTTTCTGTTCAGCGTATGGGTATTTGGAGTAACAACAAAGAGTAAAAATGAGAGCCCTCTTACGGCGTTTTTTTTCTGACAACTTGTACTCGTCGAGTTTGGCTCTAACCTGTGTTTCTCTGATGCTCTGTATCTGCTTTTCATCATTTCAACCAATGACATGACCCCGGCATCAAACGAGAGGATAAACACTGGTCGAGGGGAAATAAATAGACGTATTCCTGAGTATACTACCTATTTGAAAGTTGGTCTTTGTAACCATAGCAACAGTTGTCTGCCTAAGACCCCCTCCTTTGGTTACACTTGTTTTGCATTTGAGACGCAGGGATGCTTTTTGTTTAACATGGCGTGAGTGATGAGCGAGGTTGGAAATCAAATGCCTTAAGAATTAAAACTCAAAAGCTGTGAATCAACGTCCGACATCCTTTCATGATAAAAGGGTGAGTAATGCGGTAAGAGTGGAAATGATAACCTGGGTATTATTTAAAGTAGAAGAAAGACTGGCTCATTTGAACTTCTATAGGATCACTGTTGACATCAACAGAACGTAGAGTGAATACACTCTGTCAAGGCCAATACAACTGTAGAGCAATTTGTCATCACAGTTTTACAAATGTGTTTAAGAGATTAAACAAAGCTTGACTTCCGTATAGCATTTGTTTAGAAGGGCTAAGACATGGTTCCCTCTCCATGTGGGTACAGGCATGTTACTGCATGCAGCACAGGGTTTGGGGACCTCCCTGTGCAGAGGGCATTGAACTTCAATCTCCATTTCAACACCTACTGACCTTTATTTTGTAAAACACTCATCATCTGCTAATGCTAGAGGAAGGAGAACGCTAGTAGATGCAGTTTCACAGCCAGATTCTGTTGTCATAGATGATATTTTTGGATAAGATTAACTCTGATGAACTGTCCACTTCTAATGAATCCATCCATCCATCTATCCATCTATCTATCTATCTATCTATCTATCTATCTATCTATCTATCTATCTATCTATCCATCTCTACTAACACTAATAAAACTAATAAAACAACAACAGATTAGAATTGAACCACAATTCAGATTAGGGTAAATTCAAATTGCATGTGGGAAGAATTGGAGTATTCCCTTTTTTTGTCATATTTACGATGACAATACACACATATACATATGTATACTGCATTTTTCGGACTATAAGGCACACTTAAAAGGCTTTTAATTTCCTCAAAAATCGACAGTGCACCTTATAACCCGGTGCGCCTTATGTATTACTTCAGGTTATGCATTACTTCAGGTTATGTATTACTTCAGGTTGACTCCATGCGCGCCCATCTCACCGATGTTGTCAAAACCCAAGTGAAGCAAACTAATTTGGACCTTGCCATCATTCTGGGTGGATTAACTAAAGAATTCCAACCACTAAATATTGGTGTTAACAGGGCGTTTAAATATTGCGAGCTGCGTGGGAGCATTGGACGACAGAAGGCCAACACACATTCACCAAAACAGGGAGGCAACGCCGAGCGAGTTACGTCACTATTTGCCAATGAATCGTGGATGCCTGGACTAAGGCATCAGTCTCAAATGTCGTTCGAGCTTTCACGAAGGCCGGAATTATCACTGAACAGCTACACGTAACGGCAACGAGACTGACTCGGACAATGAGGAGAGCGATCCGGGCATACTGGATTGTTCGCTGACTGTTTTGTTCCCCTAATGCTCCTTATAATCCAGTGTGCCTTATAAAAATAAGTAAAATACGGTACATATATCTTTTTCATATTTGCAATACCTATATGTGGTTCTCATTGTTGAGAACCAACCATTGTTGTTAGTGCTCTGAGATGCCATTACGCCGTGTAGAAAAAAAACAAAACAAACGGGAATTGTGAAGTTTTCTTCTGTGTTTTTTTTTTTTTTACTTCTCTTGTTAACTCCCTGCAACCGCAAACTTTACACGGCAACTTTATGGCAGGAGAGCATCCATCTCTGCAGCACTGTTGTCCAAACAAACACATCTGCAGTGTCCTTGACTTCTAAAAATCAAATGCAAACAGAGGCGCGTTGAGAACGAAGTGAAGAGAAGCTTTCGTAGCTTCAGATGTGAGCGCCTGCCAACGCGGAGCGTAGCAATAACCTTCAGGTTGACAGTCAGACATTCTTTACAGCTCGGCGTGACTTCAGTCACAGTTAAAGGAAGAAGAAGTGTGTGTATGCTCCATGTGTAGGGTAACAAGGGTTATAATAAGTTTGCTTCTTCTTGGAGTTACTGTTTGAGATTTCAATTATTTTCCAAAAAATGTTAGAAAACAATGGAAAAAAATCTAAAAATAAATATGAATATGAAGCTCTATTGGTTTGGATGCAACAGGAATTTTGCGAACTTCATCAACGCAACATGCGTTTTTTTGTAGGATACATACAGTACGGAGAGCCGGCAAATTTATTGACCACATGAACAAAATTCAACTAAATGGATTCATCTGAACTTAATGAACTGATTTCAATCCGAATGAGAAATGCTAAGCAAAAGAGGAAGAGAAACAGTCTTAGAGAATGAAAGAAATAGAGAAAATATTATTATCGATCAGAATAAAGAAGTCAAGGACATAAGTTCATTTGGTTTGAGTTTTTGTTACTGAGAAATTTGATTTTACTGCACATTAACACTAATATTTTCACTACTGCAAATGAGTTGTATATCTATATATATATATAGTTGTATACACGTGCATGTGTATATATATATGCATATATATTATATATATACATATATACACACATATATAAATATATATACATATATATACACATATATATAAATATATATACATGTATACATATATATACACATATAACACATATATATATATATATATGTATATATTGTTGAGTTGTGGCCCAAAAGCTTTGGACTGAGCACAATTACAGAACAGAGTTGGTCACTACGTTCTAATACTTCCAGATGGGACATAACAAACTCCTTAAAGTCCCGGGGTCTATCTCTGGGCCAAAAAACGTCCCTTGTCGTTTTTGTTTTCTTTCATAAGTGGACTGAAGAGTTCCGAAATATATTATTCACACCATCCCAACCAGGATCCTGCGGAGAGTGTGGGAGCAGCATCATTAAACTTTAAATCACCATAAACACGTTTTCCCTTCACGCAGGACTTGGAGTCAGGGGCTGACCGTTTGTCTGACTGTTTTTACGTTCACAAACACAGCTCTAAAGGCAGCAGCAGTCGATCTGCCCCGACTTTAAGAGAACGGAACGGCGCCTAGACTGAAATGTCGGCACACTTTCTACAGCAGAAGAAGAAGAACGCCACGACAGACGGGTGACTTCACTGACATCACACTACCTCCTAGCTGGTAAACCAGGCCACTTCTGTGAAGGATGAAAGGCGGACTGTTGGAGTTTATTTAAGAAGCTCTGATAAGCACATCTTACAGTCAAGCTCCAAACAGCTGTTGTGCCAATAATACACGAGAATTCAGTGACTGTTGGCAGATAAGGAGCGCTGCTCCTCAACCACGAAGGCTTTGCCCCTGTATTTTAAGGAGAATGAAGGCTGCTTTGCCCCTAAGTCATGGTTTCCAAACTTTTCTGGACCCCCCATTGGACCAAGGACTAAGATTCTGTGTGGGGAGGAACGAGCTGGTGCACTGCGCAATGCTGCTACTGCTGCTCTGAGCAGATCGAATATGCAACAGCAAAAACGACAGCGACAATTAAAAATAATGGCCTCCTTTGCAATATTATTATCAGATATTCAGTTTACACCGCCTTCAACCAATCTGTTTTTCGTTTTGTTTTGCCAGCTTGTCGTTAAACATTTACAGCATTGGACAATATGCTGTGTTA